AGCACCACCTCCCCCCAGCCTCTCTAACCTCTTCCAGCTAAAAATACCCCCTTATGGCGCGCTCAGGGGCGCCTTTGATCTGCAGTCCACTCCAGGCCTGCGTGCGTCAGTGCTGACGTCAGGCAAGTGGAGAGGGTGCCCCTACCATTGGTGGAAGGGTCAGGGGCGGGACACTGCAGACTCTGACTGCTGCCATTGGTGGAGAGATTGGGGGAGAGGTGGGGCTTCGTGGTCGGTATGAATGAAAAGCCAAAGGAGGGGGTTGGCGAGGAGGGGGTGAGAGTGAGATGAAGAGTGAAGGGGTTCTGCCTTCATCGGCTTCAGCTGCCCCCGGATGACTGTGCGGCTCCTGTCTTTGTGTGGATGTGGCCTAAGTTGCTGATGGCGTGTGTATGTATGTCCAACCAGTGCTGTGTGAGTTTGTGTATATGTGCGATCGGCCATGTCTGTTGGGCTGTTTGGAGGGGTGTCTGCCTCCTCAACCAGCAATCTGGGGCAGGCGTGGGTCACATGACTGCAGAGGGGACATATGCACAGAGAGCTCTTTGACAGTGTTGGGGGGGGTCACACAGGTCACAGACAGGGTGGGGGCGGGTGTCTGGGAACGCAGCTCCCTGGGGTGACCGAGACACCATTTTGAGATGTGTGCGTTATCTGCAGCCACATGGAAATGCCCACCCCCACCCCCACCCACGGCAGACACAGATGGCAACAAAGCATCACATTAGAGATGTCTGTCCTCCCTGTCCAATGGGTCTGCTGATGTTTCCCTATTAAATGACCTGCTGGGGGTGGTTCTCACTGCTGTCCTCCACCCTCATCAAAATTGCAACTAATCAAATGACGCCCCTCCCGAGGACTCATCTCCTAATTAATTATCTTAAAAGAGCATCGTGGGCACTGGAGCGGTGGGGAGTGTGCCAAACGGGTCGTTAGTCAGGGCCCCCGTTGGCGGGTCTGACGGTACCCCTGGGCCTGAGCTGGGCCACCACACACACATTCCATATACACAGTTACTTGGCAACCAGACAGAGTTACCACGAGACACCCATTGCAAAGGAGGCTTGTCTCCATGGAAACAGCTGGGGCTGAGTCATTGGCGATTCGGCGGGTGCTTGTGGAGGGGAGCTGATTGGCTCGTGGGCGGATGTGCTGCTGTGTCACTTGGGAGTAACATCACGCCGTAGCATGGTTCCTTGCCCCTGATTTGGACCGGATCTTCCAAGGTGATGGAGACCCTTGTCCTTCCGGGCATCACGGTTCTGTGCTGCTGGAGAAGCCGTCAGTCCCTGTGTGGTGTCATCCGGGTGAGAAGGTATAATTCTCCTGGTTTAACTTGGTGTCCTGTGGAGGGCGCTGTTGCTCTCACCTATTCCAGCAACACACAGCGGTACAAGGTTTAAGGTGATCACCGGAAAAGTCACTTACAGGGTCCCGTGACACAGCTTCTGTGATCTAGATTTAAAACTGGGTCTGAATAATATTCTCAACAACTCGTGAGCCTCATATAAACAGGTTGGTAACCACGCGGTAGAATAAAAGGTCTGAACTGCCCACCTCCCAGGCGTGTTTGTTACTGATCAGGCGTTTGGTTACGAGTTTGAACCCTCCTTCAAATTTAGTGCATCCTACTGGTCGGCGGAATCCACCCAGAGGGGTGTCCCCGTTTCCCCAGTAGGCAAACTCTACCGAGGGAGATCTATCGGTATAGCTGGCTATGGGCCTGCATATGTCGATGCAGATGCGGGCTTCACGTGCTTTTGTGAATGAGGTACAACACTGCGCCATTTTGATTAAAGCGCCCTCATTCGCTTGATATGGGGATCCCCCACTTACGGAGACGTGTCTCTACACGCGTACACACAAAGGACGTCGTTAAACTAATGGGAGTAATAATTGAGAAATGCTACCATCCTCCCCAACACACAAACGGTCCCGGTCCATTATGAATAATTGACAAAGTGCAGTTCTTCTTCCCTCAAAAAAATCTTTTTCATTATTTATGCAGCAGGACTGAGAGCGTGATCCTAATAGGCGTATAGGATTTCTCAGTGTTGTGCTGCCTCGCCCGATGAGGATGGGGGAGGAGAGGGAACAGACTGCGTGGTTATAAATAGAAAGTCCTCCCCCCTCCCGCCTCGTTGCGCAGCGCACCGCCGGCAGAGGCAGCGCGGGCACCCGGGTACAGGCGCCCGTCTATCGGCTCCGGTTTGAAGTGATCAACGGTCATGACAAGTGTGTCACCTCCTTCTTCATCTTTTGCTCCAAAGTACGTCAACGTGCAAACCATTGCGGCGGAGTGGCTCATCGCATGCCTTGGATTTCCCGGTTTTCATTCGGACGTTTTGCTCAGCGGATCGGCCGTATGAACGCGGTTTAATTACAACGAATAAACAAATAGAGCCGAAACGTTTGAGTTAGAGTCAATTGTCATAAATGTAAAGCCCCTTATAAACATACACGAGCCCACCAATCTTCTAAAATAGCAATGCTATTTGAAATCTCGTTTACCTGTAAAACGCCGCTTGTATAACGTTGTGGGGGACATTCCTTAGGGAAAGCACAGCGCCTCCGTTGTATGGAGCATGTATAAAAAGCAACGTGATGTTTGTGTCGATAAGATAAACAGGGGTGACTATAATTGTTTGTTCTCATCTGTGGCGGCGTTATAAAAAGAGATGCGTAAGAGAAGTGGATATTGGATTATATAATGCTGGGGCCCGGCTGTTTTGTGCTTTAAAAAAGATTGCAACTCGATGCTTAACAGCCTACAGGCATGCATTATTAATATTAATGCTCGTATCTCTTTAAGTGGCTTCGCTCCGTTAGTGAGCCTGTGAGTGCGGGGAGGAGGCGAGCTTTGTGCGGCGCACCATTCAATGAGACCGAGGCGCACTCCCGTTATTTCCAGCCCGTTTTCCGTGCTGTATCCGACATCTTATACATAAACGCCCATTTTCCCTTCACAGTTGGCAGGATACGCCGCTCCGCAGCCACCCGGTGCCGGGGGGAAATAACGGGCTGAATCCCTTTTTTTATTATTTATTTGCTGGCGCTTTTGCGTTATTGGAAACGTGATCGGACCTGGCTGATCGATCGAGCCCATCATGGATTAACACACGCAAAGACGGCGCAAATAAAAAGGTAAGGCGTCCCTCCCTCTCTTTAAACGCATGCCCAACTGAGCGGCGTCCGTATAACCGATCAGCTTTATAGATGATCGGTTTTACAGGGGGATCGGTGGCATAACGAG